ATTTTTTTTTTTTTTTTTTTTTTTTTTTTTTTACTTCTGTGGTTTCTTTATTTTATTTGTTTTTATTTTTTTATAGCACATGTTCACAGTACATAATGATTACATTCCTGGTGGGGAGTTGGTACATGTACACAGCACATCTTAATTCCCCCCTTCCATCTCCTTTCATTCTTCCTTCCTCCTCCTTCCTTCTTTTGATTCCCTTAATTTTATAGGAAGAATAAAAATAATTTGGATATTTGTCTTGTTGGGCTTTGGCAAGATAAGATCTGTGATTCATGAGGTTAAACTATGAGATTACTCTTTTTTTATGGTTTAAAAATATCAGGAATTTCATGTTAACCTAATATGAGCAAAAATGATATGAATTCCTTACCTTGATAGTTTTATCTAATTTAAATACCACTTTTTAAAAATTTGTTATAAATAATTTATAATTTACAAATTTATAAATCACTATAATTGATAAAGCTTTTTCACATTGTTATTTGGAAAAATATTCAGTTCTTTTTAGTAAAGATTTTAGATATATAAATTTTTTTATGTAATTATATGACGCTTTCAAAGAGAAGTTTTTGTTTAGTTTTGTTCTTTCTGATATATTTCAATATGTAATTTTATGGTACAGAGCATGGGTTTGAGCTACTGTGAGTTACAAAAGATAGTTTGTGCCTTTGTAATATTTATACTACAGTAGAACTGCATTTTTGAAATGTGAAATTTGTAATCTGTTTGGATACTAATAAGATTATAAGTAGACTAAAAAGCCTCTGAAATTTACTTTAAATTTCAGACTTTAATCTTATAGTCTAATCAGATTTTCATATAATTTATAATTATTAAAATTGGAATGATTTTCTTCACCTTCTACCAGAACACACTCACCCTAATTTATTTTTAGCTAAATGATACACAGATGACAAACTGTAAAGGTGTGTAGTAAAACTGGTTTTTATGCGTGACTTGCAGAAGTAGTCATTTTATAATTAATTGTCTCCATATGTGTTTTTAGTTTTGTTTTTAGCTACTCAGCTAAAACATTTACAATTTTTCAAAAGGACATTTATTTAAAATTAGTTTACCTAAAACTTTCAGCAAGCATTAACATTTTGTTTTTTATGATATATTTATGAAATAACGAACTTGGCTTCTTTTAGTTTGAGTGGTGAAGCAGAATTTATTCTCCTTATGTTGTATTACAGTGTAAAACAATTTGTGAGTTACAATTAGCACACCTTGAAGCAGAATTCTGCTGAATATTAACTGTATAGTTTTAGTGGTGCTATTTTGTTAGCTTTTTTTTTTTTTTTTTTTTTTGACAGTTCTGGAGATTGAACCCAAGGCCTTTGCACTGAGCCATATCCTCCAACCTTTTATTTTCTGTCTTGAGGCAGGTTCTCACTAAGTTGCTGAGCTGCACAGGCTACGCTTGAACTTTTAATCCTCCCTTCATATCATTCCAGGCATGTACTACCATGTCCTGCTTTGTTAGCCATTTGTGTTAGAAACTATTATAAGAGAATTAAGGTGATCTACACTTTCATCTGTGAATAGCAGTAAATCTCAAGAAATGACTTTGAATCTTTTTTTTTTTTTGTAGCTATCGTTATTAATTATGCAAGTGAAGTGCTTGACAGCTGAACTCAGTCAGTGGCACAAAGAAACACCTGAAAGTAAGTAAGATTCTTAGTTTTGGGGTTCTATTTTTATAAATAAATTATTGGCAAATTAATGATGCAAGAATTATAAGATCCGTTTGCTCTTCTTGAAATTGCCTTAATTCCATTTATGCTAGGAAGTCATTCCATTTTTCTTTTAACATGTTATTTTGTTATTACTCTAAATGAATAAATCTGTCTTACCTAGATTATAGTAATCTTTATTATAGATACTTATTAGTCGTGATTTTATATCTTCATAGGAATTGCCTTTTATTCAGTAGAAACTAAATTGTTTATGCGTGAAACTTTCCTAATGGAAAAGTTATTTTATTTTAATTGCTTCTTTGCATAGGGGCTATATAATTTTTATGTTGTCTCTCGACTCGTCTAGCTGGAGCCAAATATATTTTTTTCTTTTGGTTGAGAAAGAGAAGATGGCTTTAAAATGTATAGTTGTAATACCTACGTTGTTAGTTTATTTATTAGTTTTTTGACACAGGGTCTCACTATGTAGTTCAGATGGCCCAGAACTCACTATGTAGCCTAGGCTAACCTCGAACTCGTGGCAGTTCTCCTGTCTCAGCCTTCTTAGTGCTAGGATTACAGGTGTGTGCCACCAAGCCCCGTGATTTTTTTTTTAATTATGAAAGTCTAAGCTTCTCATATATATTTGTATCTGGTTTTCATATAGAAATTTCATATAGGATTACACTCTTTTTTTCCATACGTCTTCCTTCTTTCCCTCTGCTTCCCTATAATTCCTTTCTCTTCCATCCTTAGGCTCTTTTGTAGGATTATCATTCTGTACTGAAATTATTGACATTTCCCAAAAAGCAGTCCTAAGCTATCTTCTTTTTTTTCTCATTTTCGTCCTACACAGTTTCATCCACATTCTTTGTGGGTTATTTTGTTATTGTTTTGTTTTGTTTGAGACAGTAGTTCAGGCTGGCCTTGAACTCACTGGGTAGTCCAGGCTGCCTTGAAATCATGGTGATCCTCCTGCCTAACCCTTCTGAGTGCTAGAATTACAGGTGTGTGCTACCATGCCTGGCATCATCAGCATTCTTTAATTACTCTGTTCATGCTAATATTCATCATTGCTCTACATCTTAATTACTACCTGTTAGCTGTTAGTCTTTTTTTTTTTTTGGTACTGGAAATCGAGCTCAGGCCCTTGCACTTGCAAGGCAGGTGGCAGAACCACTGAGACAAACCTCCTGCCCTGTTAGTCTTTAATCTAAGCTTTTCTGTTAGATACAGAGTCGAAGAACAACAACAACAAAAAACGTATGCGCACTTCAGGAAAAAAAAGAAAAAAGAAAATAAATATTTTAATACTAAATTTATTGAGATATCATGAGATTAATTAATTAAGTTACCTTTGGTCTCTACAATTACAAGAAGTGCTCAAAATGGTGACCATTAGCTTCCAGACATTCATTAGTATAGTGAACTGCTGCTTGGGTAACTTGGGTCAAAGTGTACATTGAGATTGCTGCATATGCAGTTTTAATTTCTTCTTTAAGGGCTGACGGTGTAATGGGTTTTCTACAATATACACCTGTTAGGGTCCCCCACAGATAAAAGTCTGCAGGTGTTAAATCAGAAGGATGTACACCTTATATAGGTTTTTCTGTGTATAGGTGTGTATACTTTTTTTTGGTGGACTCCGTATAGTTGTATGTAATTATAACTTTTTAAAAATTGTCTTAAACTATATATCCTGTTGCCTTCTCAGCAGTATACTTGAGTATCTCAAAGGTTGCTCGTCCTCAGCTGTTAAAATGTTTGTGTTTTTCTGAGGACTGTGCTAAGCTTTATTCACTTCTAACCCTATATGCTCTACTAGCACTATATTTTCCGCTTCTGCTTTTCTGTCTTACATCTTTATTGATTTCTGTAGCAGTTTACTAGGGCTTAAAGTACCGTAAACTGTGGCTTAAACAACAGACATTTTCTCACAATTCGGGAGAGGTTTAAGATCAAGATGTCAACAAGGTTTCTTTCTTTTCTTTCTTTTTTTCTTAAACCATTTTTGGAACTGGTTGTTAAACCTGGTCTTGCGCATGCGAGGCAGATACTCACCACTGAAGTACATCCTCAGCCCTTTTTTATTTTGTTTTGAGATGATAATTCACCACGTTGCCCAGACGGGCCTCAAACTTGCAATCTTTCTTCCTTCGCCCTCTGAGTAGCTAGAATTATAGGTATGTACAACTATACTTGGCTAGGATTGATTTCTCCTGTGGACTCTCCTTGGATTGTTGATGGCCATTACAGTAGTCAGCTTTCTATTACTCTAATAAAATACAAGAAAATTGTAACAAAACTTTTTTAACTGATGGTTGTAGAAGTTCCAGTTCCAGTCTGAGATTGGGTGGGCCTGTTCTTTTGCTTCTGGTAGGGTTACTGGATTGTAATGGTGGGGAGTATGTAATTGAGCAAAGAGAATAGACAGACCCCTTCATTGGGCTTATTTGGCATACTCCCAGTGACCTAAGGGTCTCTCATAAGAACCCACCTACCTTCCCATAATGCCATACTGGAGACTAACCTTTTAACACATGGGGAATGTTAGGGGGACCTCATCTAAACCATAGGAGCTGTGTTCCACCTGGGTCTTCTCATTGTCTTCCCTCTGTGCCTGTTTCTTTTTCTTTCTTTTTTTGGTACCCGAGATCCAACTCAGGACCTTGCACTTGCAAGGCAGGCACATTGCCATTGAGCTAAATCCCTGACCCATGTGCTTCTCTTTCTTAATGTCAAAGATGCATTCATGTTGGAATATGGCCCAGCCTAGTGACCTCATTTACATGTAATTACCTCTTTAATCATTGTCTTTTTATGTTTTGGAGGTTGAACCTATGGCCTTTGTACTGAGTTACATCTGCAGCTGCCTTTTTCTGTTTTTTGTTTACTTTTCTTTTTTTGAGACATTGTTTTCCTAAGTTGCCCAGGCTGGGTTTACACTTGATCTCAGCCAAAAGGCCGAGAAGCGATCCAGGCTGGGTTTAAAAGTAGGATCTTCCTATCTCAACCTCCCAGAGTGCTGATATTACTGGCCTGTGCCACCATGCCTTGCCAATTACTTCTTTACCCAATTCTAAGTACAATCACCTTCTAACGTACTGATGGTTAGGCTTTTAACATGTGACTTTGGATTTAGAGAACACAATTCAGTCTTTAAAACTTCCAAACGTATATATTCTTTCAAATCAGACTTCTGCATCATCAACTCATATCTTTGTCTCTTTTAGACATTTTTTCCAAAATATTCTACAGATGCCATAGATTCATTAACTGTTATCTGTCCCCTACCCATTGAATAGTATCTGTTTTATCAGCTATAAATTTGAGTTATCCTAGAGTCTTCCGTTTTCATATTTCATGAATAGCACTAAATATTGAACCCTCAGGTTTACTTATCTCCTGTCTGCTGTATTATGATAGGAGTTTTTATGTCTTATCCACAAGGTTTTTTTTTTTGGTAGCAATTTTCAGTCTTAGAGTTAAGAGGGTGATATAATGAGTCCCAGTGTCCTTAAAGACCAGCTGCCACATCAAAATTTTCTAATCTTGTTTTGGGACTTTTTTTAGGATGACTTAAAAGAACAGATATTGATTATCTCATGGTTTCTGTATATTGGTATTTATATAATATAGATATGTGTGTCAGGCATGTGGACACAGCATAGCTGGGGCCTCTCTTTAATGATCTCAAGGTTACAATGGTAAATTCTAATTTATTTTATTTTTTGGTGCCGTGGTTTGATCTTGGGACCTTGCACTTTGCAAGGCAGGCGGTAGAACCACTGAGCTAAATCCCCGGCCCCTGACAATGGTAGATTCTAATTAAAGACTTTACTGAGAAGTTTGGATCTACTTCCAAGATTCCATCAAGTTGTTAGCAGTATTTTCTTGGGATTGTTTGATTCATGGTTGCTTTGGACCATATTTTTGTTCTTTATTGTTTGTTCTTCCCTCCTGACATTGTGAAATTCCTTCTATTATTTCTGTAAGAACTTCCTTTAGCCATTTTTCTTATGTTTGGTCTACTACTGACAAATTCTCTTAATATTTCTTTCACTGACAGTGTCTTAATTTCATTTTCATTCCCTAAAGGATAGCTTGACTGAATGTGTAATTCAGCATTATCTTCTTTAGCACTTGAAAAATACACTTTTTTTCTGCCTTCTTGGTTAGTAATGAAAAACATAATACTGTCCTACTGATTTTTCCCGCATAGGAAAAGTATTGTTGTTTTCTGGATGTTTTTTTCTTCAGTTTTTATTTTCTTATTTCTTCAGTTTTTAGAAGATAAATTATAATACATCTTGGCATGGATTTCTTTAAACTTATTCTGTCTGACATAGTCTTACATTCTTATGTGAATTTATGCCTTTGGCATAATTTGAGAAATCTTCAGTTATTATTTGTCCACACTTTTTTCCAACTTCCTCTATAGCTTTGTCCCTCTCCTGAAATTTTAGTAGTGTCATTTGTTATAGATACAGAAGTCTCTGAAGTTCTGTTCAATTGTTTTTAAAGTTTTTAATTGTGCCAAGATACACGTAAAATTTATTCTCATAACCATTTTTAAATGTGTAATTCATGGAGGGATGTGGGGTGCCTCCCACAGCTGCCTCTTCCAGGCCCTTTCTTCTGGGGTCTCCTTCTGGTTCCCACCGCCCTCCCTTGACCCATTACCCACCCCGGCCGCTGCCTACCTATCATGACATCAGGCCCGCAATAGTCCAAGGGCTTTGTCTGAGCTGCTGGGACCTGAGGACCATTGAAACATGATGGGACTGAGCACACGCAGACACTGAGGGCCAGGACAGCATGGACCATGGCGCTGAAGTGGATTAATAAGGAACTTAGTGATTTGGCCAATGGCCCTCCAGCACAATGTTCTGCAGACCCAGTTGGGGATGATACATGTTCCATTGGCAAGCCACAATTATATCAGTGGCCAGTTGTGTATTTTCTTTGAAGAAATGTTCTTGTTTTCCTTCTCTTTATATTCTGGTTGGTAACCCTTTGTAAGATACTTGATTTGTAAATAAATATCTCTCTCATTCTGTAGCATGTCTTTTTACTGTGTTGACTGTGTCTTTAGATTCCGAAAAGTTTTAAATTTTGATATAGTCCAATTTATTTTTACTGTTGCCTGTGGTTTTGGTCACTGTCCAAGTAATTATTACTAAATCCAATGTCATAAAACTTCATGTTTTTTCTGTGAGAATTTCATAGATTTAGCTTGATGCATTTTGGTCTTTGTTCAGTTTTTTTTTGTTTGTTTGTTTTTTTGTTTTTTTTTTGGTACAGGAGATCGAACTCTATGAGAACAGATATGTGATTCTATTCCTTTAGTCTGTATTTCTTTTTTTTTTTTTTTTTTTTTTTTTTTTTTTTTTTTTTTTTTTTTTTGGTACTGGGTATTGAATTCAGGACCTTGTGCTTGTAATGCAGTTGTGGTGCCACTGAGTTAAATCCTGGGCCTTAATTTATATTTCTTATTTGCATTCCAGTACCAAAGTATTTTGTTAACTATAACTTTGTGTAGTAAATTTGAAATTTGGAGGTGTCAGGCTTTCACTTTGTTCTTTTTCATGATTGTTTTGAGTGTTTGGGATCCCTTGAGATATGATATAAATTGTAGGATGGATTTTTCTGTTTCTGTGAAAAAAAATCCTATTTTGTTGGAGATTGCATTGAATCTGCATATCTTTTTGATTATTATAGAATCTGTTTTTTGTTTGGTTTTTTTGGACTCAGGCCCTTGCACTAGCAAGGCAGGCTGAGGAACCACTGAGCCAAATCCCCAGCCCTTATTATGGAATCTTATTAAGTTAATTTTCTAGTCATGAACATGGAGTGCCTTTTCATTTTTTTCAGTAACATTTTGTAGTTTTCAGCATATAAGTTTTTTGCCTCTTGTATTAAATTTATTATTTGGGTACTGAATATCAAACCTGGGGTCATCCTACCACTAAACTACATTCCCATCCCCTTTTAAAATTTTTATTAGAATATGTGCTGCTGAAGTGAGCAGTAATTTTTTATTAGAGACAAGGTTTTTGTAAGTTGCACAAGTAGATCTTGGATTCTCCTGCCTCAACCTCCCATAATATTGAGAATGTAGGTGTGCACCACCACATCTGAGTAGATTTATTTGTTCTTAAATAGTCTATGCTTTTTTTGTTTTGTTTGTTTTTGTTTTTTTTTTGTTTTTTTGAGACAGGGTCTCACTATGTAGTTGAGAATGACCTGGAACTCACTATGTAGCCCAGGCTGGTCTCGAACTCACAGCAATCCTCCTGCCTCAGCCTCCCAAGTGCTGGGATTACAGGCATGTGCCACCATGCCCGGCTTATTCTATCCTTTTTGATGCTGTATGTCAGAAAAATTTTAAATATTATTTTTCTTGTTCTCGTCATCCCTTCACAGTACCACTGAATGGATAGGCTGCTTATATGCCTGATACCCACCTGGCTGCCATGTTGGGTGGGATTTTAAAATTTTTATATTCTTAATATCTTTTATTATGTTTGTTGAAATGGTTGTTTGAATGAATATTGAAATGCTATTCTTAACCATTTCTGGCAAAGAGGGAGATTTTTTTCAAAATGTTGTATTTAAGTCTTTTCAATTGCATTTGTTGAAATTATTTAGTTAGTAGTTGCATGTTTTCTGTCACTGTGACAGAATAACTGTGATAAACAACTTATAAAAAGGAAAGGTTTATTTTCATAGTTTTAGGAGTCAGTCCATGCTCAGTTGGCCCCATAACTTTTGGGTCTGGGGCAAGGGTAACATCATGGTAGGAGCAGATGTTGAGGGGACACTGCTTTCCTGATTGTAATCAGGAGGCAAAGAGGAAGGCAGGAAGGAATTGGAGTCTTCATATTGTCTTCAGGGGCATGTCCCAGTGACCTGACTTCCTCGACTAGGCCCAACTTCCATTTTAGAAAGACACTATTTCCCAATAGTGTCGCAGGCTGGCAAACAATCCTTTACTACATGGGCCTTTGGATGCTATTTACTCATTTCATAGCAGTAGTTATTCTAGGGTTCCCAACAATCAAGTCTAACACAGGCTAATGAAGCACATGTAGAAAGTCTTTTCTTGTTAAAAGGTTCTGAGATAGCAGACACCTTTGAAATCTTTCAGCAGTGTACGTATCATTTGTGAAATTTCAAATAGCACTTAATTATGAAAGTACACTTTTCTTGTGTAAGGATTAAACATTTATTAATTTTTCTACACAAAGGTTAATATTCATTTTTATTCACTGGTAAAACCTATAAAAAAGTTATATCTTTTGCTGTTTTTAATTCATTGGACATAGGTATGTTTTGAGAAAGGAATTTGGCATGCTGTTCTAAAATTCAAAATACACACTTTCTGTGACATTCTATTTCTGGGAATATGTTCAATAGAGATGAACAAGTCAATACATTTGATTTACTGTACATTTACTGGGTTCTTGTTTCTTGTAGTTAAAAACTAAGTGCAAAGTTAATGTTCATTAAGTAGAACAATCAACACAATGTTTTCACTGTGAAATATTATGCATTTATTAAGATGACAAATTAGACCTATACAAGATGAATAGAATGAAAGGGTTTCACTGGTAGTTTTATTACATGGAAGCATGATAGGAATAATGTATGATGGACTCTTCTAAAAGCAACAATGATAATAATATACCTTATGTATACCCGTGATTGCTTATATATACTAAGTATGTAGACATGCATAGAGTCATGTGAGTATAGAGAAAAATGAACACTAGATTGTTAAGGTTGCTTTTTAGGACTTGAAAAGCAAAAATGTTCAAAACAAAATACACAAATATGGTAATGTTTATATAAAAGTATATAAAGTTGATTATATGTACAAAGAAGTTAAATAAAATTGCTTGTAATCCCAGCACGCTGGGATGCTGAGATAGGAGGTGGCAAGTTTGAGATGAGCCTGGACATGGAGGATTGTATCTCAAAAAGTAAAAATGCCTAGGATTATATCTCATTGCCAAGGTCCTGAGTTCATTCCCCACAACTGGAAAAAGAAAATTTTGAAAAATAAATGTTTAAGTAGAAATTCTAGAACATATAAGTGGAGATGGATGGAAAGGATTACCTTACAAAACTACAAAACTGAGTTACTGAGAATTAACTAAATCTGTATAATTTTGTTATTTTTTTTTTTTTTTTTAGTAACTCCCCTGACTGAAGATGTTCTGATAGCATTAGGGAAAGAAGAGGTAAGTCATTCACCAATTTTAATAACTTCAAATAATTTATATCTAGATCAGTTTTAAATTAATTTTTGACATAGTAAGGTAAAACCATTCAGAAATCATGTTATATTTTAAATTGTTATTTACTTATTTTTTTGAACTGAATATTTCTAAAGATTTGAATTTTGCAGTTAATTTTTACATCAGGACTGTGACAGAAAGTTGGTACAGAGAACTAAGAGTGGTACTATAACAAATACTGAGAAATGGAACCTTTTTGGGAACTGGGTAATGGGAAAGGGTGAAGAGTTTTGAAGTGCACCCTAGAAAAAAACCAAGAATAGACCTTTTAAGGCAATTCTTTCGGTGACTCAAAAAAGAAATGCTAGAAAGAACCCCTCAGTTTTTTTAAAAGTATGCCTGTATATTCCTGAATAGAATGTTGGTAGAAATATGCACAGAAAAGGCCATTCTGTTAAAGTCTCAGATGGAAAAAAAAAGTCTCAATTGGAAATAAGAAGTATGTCTCCAAAGTTAGAAAAGGGAAAATTACTATGTTTCAACTATCTCTCACCTTTCAATACACATTGAAACATTGAACATAGCACCATTGATCAAAAAATATATAGAGATTTATTTCTACCAGAAACCAGTTCTCTGGCAGATTCAACACAGATGATTTTCTAGCATTCATCAGCTAGGTATTCTGTAATTCAGTTCAGCTCTGTATCAGGAGATCGAGTGACATCTAGAGGTAGCATCAGATCCTTTAGTTGCGTACTTCAGATGACAATTGCAATTAGGTTTCACTTATACTTCTGACTCACCACCTATAAACTGGGGATTTGCAGGCTGGAGATTTGGCTCAGTGGTTCCACCACCTGCCTTGCAAGTATAAGGGCCCGAGTTTAATCCCCAATACCAAAAACAAAAACAAACAAAAAATTGGGGTTTTGCATGATCCCCTCTCTTGTATTCTTTTAATTTTCTGGAGAGGCTCACAAACTCAGGAATATGCTGCTTTTACTCATAAAGCAGATTACACAAAATAGAGATGGACAGTCAGATGGAAGGGATGCAGAGGGGGAAGCCATGTGGAAAGGTCCATGAAGCTTCTGTGCCTTCTCTGTGCCATCCTCCTGGGACCTCCCATGTATTCATCTATCCTGAAACTCCCTTGAAGCTGATCACATTCTGCCTTGCTGTCAGTCAACTCATTAGGATATAAATAGGTACTTAAGAAATTCTAAATGTTTTAGAAAGTGTATGCCAGAAAATAAATAAATAAATAAGTGTATGCCAGGAAATATATACATATATAAATATTTCATTGTACTGTCACTAGGTAATGTGGGTCCTTGCTTTAGTGGTAGTGGAAATTAAAACTGAAATGACAGGTAAAAGCTTTAATTAAGATCTAAGAAAAGAAACAGCATGGTACTGGCAAAGAAAAAGACCTGAGGATCAGTGGAATAGATTGCAAGATACAGAAACAACTCCAGACGTACTCAGCTACCTCATCTTCAACAAAGGATCCAATCATCCTCACTGGAGGAAAGATAGCCTCTTTCATAAATTGTGTTGGAAAAACTGAATTTCAACCTGCCAAAGATTAAAACTAGACCCTGCACTAAACTAAAATCCAAGTGGATTAAAGATTTAAGTATTAAAACAGAAACACTAAACTTGCTGGAAGATAAATTAGGCAGAACTCTTGAAGACATTGGCATAGGAAAAGACTCTATGAACAAGTCCTCAATAGCAAGGGAACAAGCAGAAGGAATCAACTGGGATCTCCTCTAATTGAAAAGCTTCTGCACTGCAAAAGAAACCATCAACAGAACTAAGAGACAACCTCCAATATGGGAAAAAATTTTTACCAGTTGCTCCTCAGACAAAGGACTATGATCTAGAATATATAAAGAACTCAAAACAGTCCCCCGAAATATAAAGACCCAATTCAAAAATGGGCATCTGAAATGAACAAACATTTCTCAGACAAAGAAGTAAAAGCACCAGGTAAATATATGAAAAAATGTTCCACATCACTGGTCGTTTGAGAGATGCAGATGAAAACAACACTGAGATTCCACCTCACCCCACAAAGAATGGCTGCTATCAAGAAATCAATAACAAATGTTGGCAGGACTGGGGAGAAAGGAACCCTTCTCCATTGTTGGTGGGAGTGCAGACTGGTGCAACCACTGTGGAAATCAGTATGGAGGTACCTCAAAGAACCAGGACTAGAGGTTCCATTTGACCCAGCTATCCCTCTACTGGGTATCTTTCCAAAAGAATTAAAATAATCATACCAGAGTGATGTATGCGCACCCATGTTTAAAGCAGCACAGTTTGTAATAACTAAAATTTGGAATCAGCCCATTTGCCCATTATTTGGAGACTGGTTAAAGAAGATATGGTTTTTCTATAAAATGGAGTATTACTCAGCCATAAGGCATGAGAAACTAGAGTCATTCATAGGAAAATGAATGTATATTGAGGCCATACTCAAGTGAAATAAGTAAGACACACATGTAAATACCGAATAGTTTCTCTGGTAGGAAAACCTAAAAGTGTAAATAAGATCCAAATGGTATAACTGACAATGTGAAATGGAAGAAAAGGGCTACAGGTGTAGGGGAAGTGGGAAGGGTAGGTGAAAGGAAATAAGGGAAAAGAAAAAATATGAGAAAAGCACAAAATGGAAACTATTTGTAAATAGGGGAGGGGAGGAGTGAAGAGAGGGGAGGGGGATGGGGAAAAAATGAGAACCAAGATCTGTCTTGTAAAGGTTCAAGGTCTGAATGATAAATCTAACTCTATTATATACTTTAAAAGTACCAATAAACTCAATGAGAAAAAATAATAACTCTGGCTTGAGTCATAGCTGGAGAAAGCACACTGATGAAAAGGATCAGACTGGCCAATTAGTGAAGCAAAGAGACCAGTTTATAGGATGCTTATGGGCGTTGGCATCTGGTTGACCATTACCCTCAGTTATGGTTTCATAGCTCAGGTTGAATCCTTATGTCAAGGGACAATGTGGTTTTCATGAGAGGAAGCTCAGTGACTTGAGGAGAAATCTCAGTCATTTAAGGCTCTCCTTGAATCCACAGTGACCATATGTTTAGGACAGCAGAAACTTTAGGGCACAGGTGTTCTCAGTCGTGAGGGGCAATGATAGGATAGGTAAATTATGATTTCTTGGTATCTTTAAACATAAATACAAAACAAATTTATTTTATAACCAGCTTTCACTTAATAAAGTGTGAACACCTGTTACCTCAGTAAACTCAGGTTAATAGTCTGATCTCTTAGTGACATAACTAATAATATAATCACTTCCATCCCCTAGTACTCACTCTTACGCTCCACTTTGCTTTACTTTCTTTCTCTTGTCTAATAGTCTCTCATTTTTTTTTTTTTTTTTTTTTTTTTTTTTTTTTTGGTATTGGGGATCAAACTGGGGTCCTTGCGCTTGCGAGGCAGGCAACAGAACCACTGAGCTAAATTCCCGGCTGGTCTCTCACTTTTATGGCATCTTTTTCAATCCCACCTATTAGAGAAAACATGTGAAACTTGTTTTTCTGAATATGGCTTATTTTGCTTAGCATAATGATCTCCAATTTCATCCATTTTTCTGCAAATAACATAATTTTTCTTTTAGTGGCTGAATAATGTATATATAACACATTTTTTTTTTAATCCATTCATTTGTTGATGGGCATCTAGTCTAATTCCTTGTTTTGGCTATTGTGAAATATGCTATAATAAACATAGGTGCTCTGGTTTATGTCTAAATGTCCCCTGCAGTCTTATGCACTCATAGGCAGGACTTTTGAAAGGTGATTGATTCTTGGAAAACTATAAATAAGTGTGCTGTTAGGAGATGGGGCCTGATCCTGAGAGGCTGGTCATTGGAAGTATGTATCTTCTATCCTCTTTCCTTCCTTTTTTCTCTGCTTCCTGGCCTCATCATTAGCAGCTTTCCTCTGATTAGTGTCTTCCAGCATGCCTTCCTGCATTGGAGCCAGCCAACTATGGACTAAAAACATGAACCAAAATAAACCTCTCCTTTAAGTTGCAGGCAGTTGTCAGGCATTTTGTCCCAGCCAGGAGGAAAGTATCAAAGATAATGGATATGCAGATAATCCTATATAGTAAGCTGTCTTTTAATTCCTTTAGGTACATATCAAGAAGTAGCATAGCTGGATCCTATGATAGTTTTATTTTTTAAGGAATATACATATTGATTTCTGTAGTGCCTGTACTAATTTACATTTCCATCAGCAGTGTTCCTTTTTCTTCACATCTTCACCTATATTTTTATATTCTTGATGATAGCCATTTTGACTGGGGTAAGAGAATCTCAGTATTTTTTTGTTTTTTGGTTTTTTTTGGTACCGGGAATTGAACTTGGGTTCTTGCGCTTGCAATGCAGGCCACCAAACCGCTGAGGTAAATCCCTGGCCCTTCAGTGTATTTTTGATTTGCATTTCCCTAATGGCTATAGATACTGAAGTTTGTCTCATATGCTTATTAACCATTTATACTGCTTATTTTGAAAAGTGTCTCTTATCATTTACCCATTTAATGTTTGGGTTACTTGATTTTTTTTTTTTGGTGGTGTTGTATGAGTTAGATAATAATCCTCTTGGAAGAGTAATTGGCAAAGATTTTTTTTCCCCCATTGTAGGCTCTCCACTCTTGGTTGTTTCTTCTGCTGTGCAGAAACTTTTAAATTTGATGTTCTCATTTGTTGAGAACATTTTGTTATTTCTGTGCTATTAGAGTTGTGTTCAGAAAGTTTTTGCCTGTGTGTAAGGTTTCAGGTGTTTCCTGTATGTTTTCTTCTAGCAGTTCAAAGTTCTAGGTCTTATACCTAAGTCATTGATCCATTTTGAATTGATTTTTTGTACAGGGTGAGGGACAGAGATTTAGTTTCAGTTTTCTGCCTATGGCTATCCAATTTTTCCAGCACCATTTGTTAAAGAGCCTGTCTTTTCTCCAATGTATGCTTGTGA